CGCCGGCTGAACCGGCGATTAATTTTTATTTTTTTTTAAGTTGTAAAGTGTCAAAAGTTCGACAAAGCATAACTTTTGACTCGGTTGTCCATTTTGGACAAATGTTTTTTGAAATCGCGTATTTTTTCGAGATCTATCCACCGCAAACTGCCGTATGTGGTTTGGCCCACCAATTTCTATAAAAAATGCTTTATTAAATAGTTTTTAAGAAAAAACTATGAGAACCTTATGTTTTATTAATGAATTTTTAAAATTTTTAATTAAAAAATTGTCCCCGTGCATTATTTAATAATCTCTCTTTATAATTGGTCAAATTATTTAATTATTGTAAATTAGAGAATATTAATGATGGTAATAGAAATCCTAGAAGAATATAGAATTGAAGAATATTTAAGTATTGTTATATTAGTATTGTAACTCACGGAATACAATACAAGAATATTTAATTATGGTTATATTATTATTGTGCCTTATGGCCATTATATACTAACAGAACTTGAAAAGAAACTAATAATAATAATATAAGTGGTAATAATAATATCTAAAAGTAATTAAGTGTTAATAATAATAGTAAGAATATTAACGTAAGAATTATAACATAGAATAAATCGTAATAATTAATAACTATAGTCTAGGATTAAATTCGAAATTGTCAGGAAAAATAAGCGACCTCCGGTGAAATTAACTCTTAAATAATTATATATCAATTTAAATATTCTTAATATATTACAACAATTTCATTCCGTGCATCGCACGAGTGAAAATACTAGTTAGTGAAACAAAGTTATTAATTATTTTTTAGATTGGTAAGAGCATTCCCAATAGTATAAAATAAAAGAAGAATAAAAAAGAAAACAGGGGAAAATATAAAAGCATTTGACTAGTACTTGGTATCTGAGATGCGCACCAGTTTTTTTTTTTTTTTGCCAAAAAAAAAAAAGCTCATTTTCCTGCAATGTCCCCTCTATCCAATCGTTATATGGTGGAGCTTGGTCCAATACACAAAATTTTTGTTCATAATACACATACAAAATAAATACGATATAATGAACATGAATTATGTGTATTATAAACATGAATTATGTGCATTATGATCATGAATTCTGTGTATTATATAGCTAAGGACACATAAACACGTAACATAATACACATAATCCATGTTCATAATGCACATAATGTTGGAAAAATAGCATTAAAATGGCATAAAATGACATGTTAAGTGACTATTTTGTGGTACAATTATCAGTGGGGTCCACTTCCGATTTGGATCGGGTCAAAGTGGATTCGAATTCTTCGTAGTGAGACGAAGAGATTGATATATTGTACGCTCAAAACGGATAATGAGTGAATGAGATATTGATTCTCAAAGTAGACCATTGAGTTGGAAAATGTAAGGTAAAAGTGAGCTTTGTCCCACATTGATTTGGAAAGAGGATTTCACCCCCCTTTTATACAAGAGTTTTTTTAGAGCTTGTAGAATTGTATAGCATAGAGGCTCTCTCGCGTGGGGGGGGGGGGGGGGTGCAAATCAAATTCCAACTAGAGATGACTTCGGAGAGGCTTGATTTAAGCCCGAACTCGTGTGCGCCGGCACCTACGGGCACGAATGTCGTCCAGAAATTGGCTGGCCTTGCAGGCTAAGTTATGCCAACTTTCGGTATCAGTTTTCCAAACTCTAAGCCACTTGAAAGCCTGGGTTCGACCTCGTGCGCTGGTCAAACAGAGAACAAGCAGCACGAGAGGTGCTCTCGTGTGCGCTGGCCGAGACCAAGCAACACGAGAGTTGCTCTCGTGCGCTGCGGCCTGGCCGAGAGCATGCAGCACGAGAGTTGCTCTCGTGCGCTGCGGCTGAACAGCACTTCGGTCTACCAGAGCTGTTTCTGGACAGTGGAGATTTAATTCATCCGTTACAAGAATTAATCTTTGTATTAATTCATTTTGAATTTTGAATTAAACCTGCACTAATGACCAGCTGTTTCAGATGTTACCAACGTGCCATGAATGCCTACTAAATGCTATTTAGTACTCCAATTCCTATATATGAAGAGGTAGTAGGAGCAAGTGATTTACAACAAGTGTGGGAAGAACACGAGAGTACACAACACACAAAGATAAGCAATTTTCCTTCTCAAAACCTTTGCTCCTACTTCTTCTTTCTTGCTACTGTGTTTTGCCCGTGTTCTAGTTCGCCGGGTTCGTTCGTTTGGGTGCTCAAACGTCGAATCGTTGTACGTTTTATCCTGAGAAACCTAGGCCACAACGCTCCTAGCACTTTTGGGAGGTGGCAAATAAGGTTTTAAGGAAAGACAGGCACTTTGCCTAACTCGTACTTTCTTTCTTCTTCTTTCTTGTTTTGGATTATGCTCTAAGCAAAAATCCGTTCTTTCTTGTTGTTTTGGAATTATAATCTAAGGATTATATTTTCTTTTTTGGTTGATATATATTGGTATATCTTTTTCGTAGATATACATGTATATATAACCGTTTGGTCCGTTTTATATATATTTGTGTGTATATATATATTTCGGATATATATCCAATAATATTTTATATATATTTTGTGTGTATATATATAAATATTATTTTACGGATATTAAATCGATTGTGGTTCATTATCACCAACACATAATTCATGTTCATTATATTGTGTTTATATGTATATGTATTATGAACATGAATTTTGTACATTATGAAGTCAAATTCTATATTGGATCAGGGTTCATAATGCATATAATTTGCCCCCTCTCTTCTCAGTTCTCTCTCATACTCTTTCTTTTGTCCACATCACCTAAATAGCTTGAAAACTCCCAAATTTGTCATTGTTGGTGATGCTCGTAGCCAGTTGAGTTATGTCCTTAGAGCAAAATTCCTCATTTAAAGAAGATTTTACCTTAATCTTGGGAGTTCTTAGTTGTCCGTACTTTGGATTCTTAATGGAGGAAGTAAATCACACTATGTGACTAATTGAACCATGCGCCCTTAATTAGTTACCACCGAAGTGGAGATATTATTATTATTATTATTATTATTATTATTATTATTATTATTAGTTAACCAGTTGAGCTGCATTCCTCGAGCAAAATTTATGGTTAAAGTAAATGGGAAACTAAATGGGAGGGGGATTAGTAGATCAAGATTTATGAGGTTCAAGTGAAGTATATGGTCCAAGTACATGAAAAAGGCAAATTATGCTATGGAACCGTGTCCACCTTGCAAGGTGGACACGGTTCTAAAACTGTTCATAATTATGAATATATAGTTCAAAAATTATGAATATATAGTTCTATAATTATGAACATAGGGTTGTGAACATAATTATGAACATATAGTTCCGTAATTATGAATATAGAGATTCAATAATTGTGAATATGAAGTTCAAAAATTATGAATATATTATGAATATAAAGTTCTGTAATTATGAATATAGAGCTCAATAATTATGAATGTGAAGTTCAAAAATTATGAATATATAGTTTTATAATTATGAATATATAGTTTAATACTCCCTCCGTCCCATTTTATGTATCTGGTTCAATTAACGAGGTTTGACTGGAGTTATTTTTAATCCAATTTTTCATAATATTAAGTTTAATATTAGTATATAAAATTTATATATTTAAAAACTACACTAAAAATATTATTAAACACAAAAAATTAAATTTAAAAATAATTAAAAAATATTAATGAAAATACACAAAGAAGAAAGAGTTGATTTGACCAGAATAATAAGTAGGACAGATCAAATAAGACACAGAAGAAGTAATTATGAACATAGAACCGTGTCCACCTTGGAAGGTGGACACGGTTCCACATCATAACGATTGCATGAAAAAGGAAACACATTGTGAAAGATAGTTGGTCACAGTCCATGACCCCTTATCAAGTGAAAGCCCAACAAGCTAGGGAAGTTGTCACTTTAAAATGTTGTCTATGCCTTTTTCTCTTTTAATTTATTCTCTATTGCCTTTTTCGCTTTTGGGATATGGGTAAAAGGGTGAGCTCAAGGACAGGAGTCTGGGAGAAGATAATAAGCTTATAATAAATGAAAATGCAGGCCAAGAATAAATCATCCAACTGGAAATCCAATAGGATTTTTTGTGAGTAAGGAGTCGCATGTAAGTTGTCTGTAAATTAAGGACCACTTTTCATATATCTTTTTGACTAAGAGGAGTGAAAGAAACAAGAATTCTGTGTTTTTCATCGGTACTTATCGAATCTTTATTTACATTCTATATACGAACTTTGAACCTTGTAGATTTGAACCTAATTGCTAACAAAGTAGATTTGAACCCTAAACTTTGCAATTGCTAACAAAATAGAGCTAAGTCTGCACTCTACACCTAAACTCTATTGCTTGGTTGGCTAACAAAGCGGAGTGGATTGGAGTAGAGGATTGGTTGGTTGACTAGCAAAGTGAAGTGGAGTGAAGCCTGCGCTCTACATCTAAGCCCTACAATTGCTAATGTAGCATAGCTAAGTTTGCACTCTACACCGGAACCTTGTGATTGCTAGCAAAACGAAACCATCCGTGATGGTGGGCTAGTAAAGCGTGATGGAGTCTACGATTATGATTGTTAGCGAAATGAAGTTGAGCCGAGCCTCCACGTACTCTACATCTAAATCCTAAAACCTGCAATTGCTAACGTAGCATAACTAAAACCTTGCGATTGCTAGCAAAGCGAAGCCATTCGTGATGACTGATTGTTAGCAAAACAAAGTTGAGCCAAGCCTCCACTTTACATCTAAATCTTAAAATTTGTAATTACTAGCAAAATAGATATGAACCCAAAACCCTGCCATTGCTAGCAAAGTAGAGCTACATCTGAATCTTAAAGCCTGTGATTGTTAGCAAAGCAGGACAGAAAATTTGTATTTTAGTTGTTGACAATCTCAATCAGTAATGATGTGAGTTTGGTCATTGTGGTCTACAACTTAAAAACAAAAACTTTGGTCCCTAATCCACACCTCAGACAGTATAGTAGTAAACAATCTCAGTCTCACAAAGTTCCAAAGAGATTGAACATATATAATTCTTGAACATATTGATCAAAGGACCAAAACCTAAGAGACAGACAACAAAGATTACTACATTTTCGTTTTTGTTCACAATATATATATATATATTTACATTGTTGTGCAAAACCTCCCTCCAACTAACCCCTGTCTCTTACTCAATCAACCTAAGCAACAACATTTTCTTGATTCGTTTTTGGGTATTGTCCAACACAGTGACTGATTCTTGGTAGACAGGCGCTCTCGAACACACTGACTAATCTCTTGACTGATTCTTGGTAGACAGGCGCTTGAGAAACTCGTAGGTTGTGATCATGGTGGTAGCAGACATGGACATGGAAGCCCACCTCGGACCCAATCCTCTGTAACAAGCCGTGAATCCACCTTCCTTAACCAAGTTCCTAACCGTCTGTCTCGCGGTCGGCGGCCGCCGGTCGGTCCCTTCGCCGTCCAACACTTGCAGTCTGGTCTTGATTGTGTCGAGTGGCATTGTGACCAAGGCTGAGACGCCGCTGGCAAAGGTGGCGCTCAGCCCTTGGACGGCCACCACGGCCTTCCCATCCGGCCGGAAACCGCCGCCGTCGTCCTCCTTCTTGCAGCCATGGCAGCCAATGCAGCCCCAGATGAGCCTGTGAGCCACAGAGTATGAGGCCCACCAAACTGCGTTTGAAGGAGCGTAAGTTAGAATCGAAATCCCGAAGCCTCTGTACAATCCCCTAACTCCATAGCTGCAAATTATCTTCCTAAACGCATCTATTCCGCCATTGTAGCTCTTCAACCCCACACTACTACTACTACTACTACTACTACCCTGAACCATTAGCCTCTGGCTCACTACGTCTATGGGAGTCCACACTAACTGCGCCGCCATGGCGGCGCTCAGCCCCGCCGCTGCGTTGGCTATGGCGGACGCGGCGGCCTCAGAGAATCCTAGCCGGACGGTGGCGGTTCCTACGTTACTCTTGGTCATCTCCAGCGCGCCCATGTAAAGCGCACGCGCCGGGATGGTTCCGGTGAGGGAAGTCCCGAATCCCCTGTAGAATCCCCGGCACCCTTCGTTTCTTAAGATCGAAACCGCCATTTTAAGGCAAGGGATCTGAGCCGCCGCCACCTGTTGCCGAGTCTTTAACACCACCACCGGGTAGAGCGTCGCCGAGACGCCGGAAAATAGCGCCGCCCCAAGGAAAAAGAACTTGGATTTGTCCAACATCTCCCAATCTATATCCGCCGGAAGATGGATTTCCGACGCCGAATCATCCTCCGCCGTGCTCAAACTCATTTTCATTCGCCACTTTCTTCAATTCCTCTCAATAGTCAATACCACTGTTTCTATTCCTAAGCTATAACACGAAAAAAACTAGAAATTACAGAGTCAACAGAAAAGCTCTAAAATTCCTGGAAAAAAAAAAATCTAGATTATCTATCTCACAGTAAACAAAACAGAATGAAAAGCAAAAACTGCCCTTTTCTGTTCTTTCAAAGCTCTATTAAGGGTCGACCTCAAATTCTAACAAAACTGCGTACTGAAACGTATATACAGAATTAGAAAGAAAGAAAGAAAATTCTGCGTGCGTATAATCTGTGTGCTGTTGTGATGTGTCTGATTGTTCAGGCATGAAAACCTCGCTGTAAAGAAACGCCTATCATGAGGGATAAATATCACTATGTATATGTATATATATACGAGGAAGAGGAAAAGATAAGATGTTTAGAGAGAAGGTCGCAGCTTTACTAGCAGTAAAACTGAAGAGCAGAGATGGTGGCGGAGGAGAGAGAGAGAGAGGAGGGAGCAGAGAGAGAGGGTTAAGGATTAGAGCCGAGGGTTCTGCGGATTTGATATACGGACACGTGGCGGTTACCCTTTCGAGAACATTTCTTCCGGATAGAAAGATGAATCTGATTCGACCGGCTGTAGGGAGTAGATCTGTAGATGTGTTATTTTTTTAAAAACTAAATTGAATTGGTTCTTTGTGTTTCAGTAGGTTGAGAAAGTATATGAACAGATGTAATAGGGCCAGTAACATTCAAAAAAAAATTGGATTATAGTTTCTGTTTTTTTTTTTTTTTTTTTTCAAATGTTATTTTCCATCTTATATTTTAACTAAAAAGCAAATCAATTTTATTAGCACCACTCTCTAACCAACAAATCAATCTTATGATTAGCCGACAAGGCAACAAAGTATCATAAGAAAATACGGAGTAAAATGTTATTCAAACGGAAAAGGTTAATAGACCATCACAATAAGAATTTGAACTTTAAATAATGTTATTTTTCTTCTTAAGTTTATCCTTGTGTTGACATAATAATAATAATGATAATAATTTTTTAGTAAAAAATTGTGTGAGACCATCTCGCGGATCATGGTCAAGATGAACATATAATAATTATACAGAAAAATATAATATTAATCATAAATAAAGTATTTGTTACTTATAAGGCAAAGTTTAATACTTTTGAAGAAAAATATAATACTTTTAGATTTTGATTTAAAAGTATTACATTTTTACTCAAAAGTATTACACTTTACCTTATGAGTAACAAAACTTTTATTCCTGATTAGTATTACATTTTTCATATAATTATCACATTTCCATCTTGATCCGACCTGTCTCACGGATACGGTTAGTCACTCGTGTTATTTTTTTTTTATTTTTTTTTATTTTTTGTTTTTTTTTTTTGTTTTGATTGAGGGGTCTATGAATTGATTGACATGGTCTCTAAGTTAAAAAAAAAAAATTACTTAATAATCAAATACATTTCTTTTCCTCTCTTTTAATAATCTTAATAATAATAATTCAGTTTCTATTAAATGAAATTTTAAATTTAAATTATGCAAATGAAAAAAATTAAAAATGATGATTCAAAGTATAATTCCGTGATAAGTTAACGTTATTTTTCAGGTAATAGAAAATAAAACGTACAATGTAAAGAGACGTGTATTTTGTTTTGTAAAGTTATATTCTCTCTCTATATATCTTTGACAAAGTATATGTTACAAAAAATATTATTATTTCATATCGATAAGTATTGAAATATGTCTACAAAAGTGTTTGAATTATGAAATAGTTGATAAGTTATACAAAGTAAATGACTAATGCAACTATAAAGTCGAAAAATTAACATGTGCATTATGTTCAAATTTTACGGTATGCGTTTCGAATCAAATCTAAATTAAATGAATAAGTTTAGTTTTGTCATATTATAAATTGTACAATTTTTATACTATTTTAGCATTAAATATTATAACAATTTAATATAAAAACTACTCCCTAAAATTTAATATAATAATTAGATAGGACAATATTTAAAACAAAAAATTAATAAGGCATGATTTCCGAAAAAATACAAACTGTGGGTGGAAAGGTAGGTGAGACCAGTGGGCTCGTCTGTCTTTTTAAATAGAGGGGTGGTGGCCATTTCCAAGGGCTTCCTCTCTTTGGGCATTCTTGTAATTGCATACTAATTTCAAATTTCGGAGTAAAGTTTTTTTTTTTGAAAGTTACTGGCTCTATTACATTGTAGTATCTGGCTCTATTACATTGTAGTATCTGTTCATATATTGAGGCTTGAACTCATAATCTTCCAAATAAAAATTCAACCCGAGTACCATTAGACCACATAGTCTTAGTAAATTTGTGAGTAACGTAGTTGAGATACATTTCACAATTTAACTCATCTATCAATCTCTAGGATAAGAGTGGAAGATCAGTGTAACTATTGATCATAGTCTACCCTGATCAATCTTATTAAATAAAGATAAAATAATAATAATAAAATTATTTTATTTTAATTCACGAAGTCCTTTGTGATAGCAGAAGGGAGATTGAGGTTGAGTCCTCGGCCACCATGGACGAGGCTTGTCCTTGGCCTCCAAAAAAAAAAATTATTTTAATATTGTAATAGTTATTTTGTGGCCCCCTCATCAAAATATTTTCTCCCTCCAAAAAAGCTTCTAGAGTATGTTTTATATCCAAACCATCCATCCAAACCAAACACAACGGATACACAGGTATTTTCTCTTCAATTTTCAAGTTGAAGTCTATAGGTAATTTTTCATTTCTTTTTTATTCTTTAAATATTTGGATTTTTTAATGAATTATTCTTTATTAGAGATGGATTCATCAATCTTCACCATGACAAAAAGTGGAAGGGTTTCTTTTGTCTCCACTGCTCCCATAGTTAATTCCAATTTTGGTCTTTCAATTATTTATATTTGTTCAATTTAAAAGAGATGTTGTCAATGGGTATAGAACCTATAACCTCCACAAGGTAACACACGCCCCAACCCACAAAGCCACTACTTATCTTCAATTTCACCTTTGACTTTAATAGTTACTTATTTAGATTTTTTAACAATTGATTTTATACTCAATTTAGTCTTATATCAAAAAAACCATTAGGTAACTATTAAATTCAATGGCAAAACTGAAATAGTGACGACCTGAGCAACCATTGTCTCGATGTCATAGTGACCAAGTGTAGAAGGCTTATCGCAAGCTTGAGAATGGTCAAAGTGGTTCATATTTGGATGGAAAGTAACAAGTGTGCATACAAACTAGTCAATTTGGGTCAAAGTACGACTTGGGGGACTTCACTCCTGGATGATCCATCGAATTGCCTTAGTGCCTCCTTCAGGCTAACGCCGGGGGAGCCATGACTTGTAGAATCTTGTAGCCCCCCTCTATTGCACCCAGATTTCAATAATCAAGTGGTCAATTTTAAAATTTACTCTTTTGATTTTTTTTTTTTACTTATAAAAATTTCCCTTTTAATTTTTGATCAATAGAAAAAAAAAAAAAAAAAAGGATCACACTATACTATAACACTTTAATTGTGTGTCTATTTTACACTTTTTTTTCCTAAGATTTTCACTTGAATGAAATATATGTGTTGCTTTATTTGAATTTTAGTTCATTCGCAAGTTTTACTAGCTTGCATGCTCAAGTTATAATATGAAGTAACAGAGTTATCACTTGTGGGGCTTCATTAGAGCAATTAATTTACAAATCTAAAAACACTGTAGGTGTCCATCCATGTTATAACTCTAATTTTTGTTCATTTGTTGTGTGTTAAAAAATTATACATTGCACTTTAAATATTGTACATATTAGACAAAATTGCCTTACTACAGTTTTGTTAGACAAAACTATCATTACAACATTATAACTATGTTACTATTTAATGAATTCTAACAGTAAAGAGTTCACTATTACCATATACATGCATTTATCATATATACTAGTTTTTTACGCGCATTGCGCGATTGAGATAATGCCCAATGTTTTTTTTTAAATAAGTACTTTAAAGTATATTAAGGCAGGATTATATTGAAATTGTTTATGCATAGATAATTGAAGGTTGAATTTGCGTATTTAAATAGGTAATTCTTCTCCCAAAGGTTGAGTCTCCAACCCCAAGGGCCCCCTACACTCCGACCCGACAGAGCATTGTGGACAAGGAATCTGCCCACTTTAGACATAATTTCCGCACTGCCGCCACCGAGGTTCAAAGCCATTGAGCTAAGCCGGTGCGGGTTAAATAGGTAATTCTAAGTTTACAAATGCAAGATAATATAGTCAAGATTGATTATAATTGTCAATAAAATAATTGTATAGGTATGGTTGAAACCAAATACGGGACATAAGGGAGAACAAATAAAAATTAGGGCATAAAATATTAAATATATACTAATATTGTTGGAGGAGATTCCGACATTACGATTTGTGGTTAAGTTCTATTAAGACTTTAATATTAGAATTAGATTAATGGCGTAGTTATAATTCTATATTATACTTTAATATTAGAATTAGACTAACGGTGAATTAACAGAAAAATTAAATGGATAATAATATAATTAAGGATAAATTAGAAAATCTTAAAAGAAAAAAGTTAAAACCTGAACAATATGAACCATTCATTTGATTTAATAATTTGGCGGTCATTTTTTCTACCCAATGTTAATAATTAAATAAATTCGCTGGTCAAATCCACTAGTATAATCTGCTAACGCTAACCCCTAACTGTTGATTGTCGAACAAGGACATTGCGAGGTAGTTCTCACTTCAATTTGTTGTGTGATTTGAATACTCTCTTTGTCACAAAATCTCTCAAGTAGTTAATATGGTTGGCTTTATTAATTATATTTTTTTAATTTTTTCATGGTATTAATAAAATACTTGGTAAATAAATATATAGCATTATTTTGTATTATAACTTTGATATTTAATTAGAAAAACAGTGCAGAAAAAAGATAATAGATAATATAGTGAATATAATCAATTGATGAATTTGAATGTAAAAATTTTTACATTTGAGAAAAATAAAGACAATATAACTAATGAAAATATTTCTTTTAATTAATTTATTGATAATTAATAATTTTTTTTTTCACTGAATAAAGACATTGTAAGGATAATATAGCGAATATAATCAATTAATAAATTTGAATATAAAAAATTTTTATATTGAAGAAAAATAAAGACAATATAACTAATAAAATTATTTCTCTTAGTTAATTTATTGATAATGATTTTTTTTTTTTTGAATAAAGACATTGTGGACACATAATTATAAATTAAAGAAATGCATATGTATTATTTTTTGTTGTAACTACTAAATTATTATTTATATATAATTTAATAAGAGTAAAATAGAGTACTAATTATGCCAACTTTGATTGGGATGAGATTCGAACCTAAGACCTTTTTCTATTGAAATCAATGAGTAAGTTAACGGTGAATTAACGGCAATTCTTAAAATTTTAACGGAATTAGTAATGGTGTGTGGTTATTTTAGGAAATTTTAGTGTAAAATTTAAATCTGATCAATCTTTCAATCAATCTGAGCCATTCATTTGATTAAAATCTGCGACCGCCAT